CAAGTAAACGATGAGAATAAGTAAACGATGTTAAAAACGAGATTGAGTGGAAGAAGGATCTTATTCCGATTATGCGTAAGAATGGTACAACGAGGTAAAACCTTGGCTACAAGAGCTGACGGCGAGTTTTCTAGTTCTAGCAACCTAAGTCTAAACCCTAGTTGAGACACAGCTCGATAACATAAACAGAAATATTCCTAAGTGCTAAGTTTTGGTGGTGAGAACTCTGAAAATCGTCCTCTTTCTTCTGTCCTTGGCCTTCTGCTTATATCCTCCCTCCTTAGATGGTTTAATCCTTCCTTTTCGTCCAGATTCGAGTCTATTGGAAATCTTCCATTTATCTCGATCTTTCCATTTTTCTTCGGAAATCTTCTATTTATCTTCAAACTTGACATTTCTCTTCAAACTTGACATTTATCTTTTTTCCTGCGAGTAAATGGTCAAACCGTCGTTGTATCTTTGGGTTGGACTTTGTCTAAAACCGTGGATAGGTTTTTATCGTGTTTTAGGACTTTCCGAGACGTTTTGCGATAAAAACCGTTTTACGATTTTAGGCGAGATCGTTTCCTGATACGATGCCGTTTTTATAAGACTTTTCAAGTTAACCGTATAGTTTGACAATGTACGATGTTCCGTATAATCGTTGCCGTTTTATACGATCTTCCCGAATTCTTACGAGAAAAGAAGACTTTTACGATTTTTATCGTAAAACTCGAATGGTAAGACGGATCGAGATGAAACGAGAGACGTTTCGACCAAGGTTCAGAGCACTATCGAATCGAAGGACATATGCCTTGCGTCGAGGATGCGGGGGAGCAAGGCTTGGGACGGTCAGCTTGACGTACGGCGAGCCGAACCGGGTTGGTTCAGCTCGCCGTACAGCGAGCTTGTCTGGACGAACCAGCTCACCGTGCGGCGAGCTGAACCGGCTGATTCGGCTTGTCGCACGTCGAACTGGTTCGGTCGAACCTGCTCGTAGTGTGGCGGATGCAGTTTTTGCGGTTTTTCGCTTAACTTGGGCAATCGTATAATCGGAGATTGTTTCGTTCGCTTTTTCGAGATGACAATTTCCAAGTTTCGCGCGGATTTCCTTTGTTTGGAAAGTCCTTTTAATTTTATAAAACAACTTCTCGTGTTTTATAAAACGTATTTTTATTTTTGCGGAAATTTTTGGTCATTGATTCGTCGTACCGATTTTGACCCCAACAATATAGTATTTTAATTATAATTTAAACTTATAAAACAAATATTAAATTTTAGTTTTTTTAAATGAACATTATGACATGGAGACTTTTCAAAACAAAAAAAAATCACTTTTATATAAAATTATAAATTATAAAATATAATATATTTATTTTTATAAAATAAGTTCATGCATGATATCACACAGGGTTTTTTGCTTAGTTTCTATAATAATAGCAAGAGATTGTTTGTGATAAAAGAAAAAAAGAATATATTTTGTCTATTTGGATTTCAACTAGATATTCACGTTTCATAATCCATTTTCTTAGAGTTTCAAATGAGTCGCCAAACCTGCTCTTATGACTCTGAATGTTTCCAAATCTTTTATATACCGAAGCACAAGTCAATTATGCAATCAAATTTTGACAAATGAAAAATACTTTAAAAAAAAAAGCTAAAAATAATTCGGTGGAAACAAATTTTCCTCCTTATTTTTTCTGCAACATCAATTATCTAAATTCCTATTTTTCTAAAATAAACTCATCCCTCGTTCAAGACCATGATCTCAAACTGTTTTTTCTCCTTTTTATATTTGCAGTCGACCAAATTATTCTTCAAACTTCACCATTACTCTTATGTTTTCTGTCTCACAGTTTTAATCATCGCTTCTTATCTCCATATCAAATATTATAGAAAATCACTTAAGTATACTCCTGTTTCAGAGTTTATGAAACAAAAATTTATCATCAACGAAGGTAACAAAGTATTGCAATATGTATTTTTATATGTTTGATATATATATATATATATATATATATATATATATATATATATACCATGATAAAAAAAAAAATACTTTTCAACTCTTGCATCTTCTAACTGGCACGAATAATAGTTACTGAGACAAGCAAAATTGTTAATAATTTTATATATTCTATAAGGTAAAATTTTGATGTTTCTATATTGTCGATATATCTTCTTATATATTAAAACAGAAGTCATGACTTGACTTCATGTGTGATTTTTTTAAAAATGGACTATTACTAAAAATTTATGTTACATTAACTCTCTAATAATCTTATCATTATTATAGCTTATGAAAAATCATATCTATAGTAACAAATATACACTTAACAATTTCGTTTTGGTAAATTATCTCACACCTTCCAATTTAGTCATGCAAAATATGTCAATAGATATAAATTTAGAAATCTTCTATTATTTATAAGGAAATATGTCAATAATAGTTAAATCCATCCACAATATATTAACAAAAATCACATATTCGTAATATGGAATATTTATATACCCTAACAATGTTTACACGCTATATATACTAGATAAATTTATTTCAGTGTAAATTTTTAAAACTGTTTAAAAAAAAAAATTGCTTAAAAATTCTTTTTTAAATAAAATTCTTTATAATATTAATTTATGAAGCTATAAGTTTAGTTTTTAGCAAAAAATTCTTCGAAGTTTATATTATCTTTGCAAATTAAAGTATACTAATATTTAATCAAGCTCTATTTATATTAACTAGGATAAGACCCGCGCCTTGCGCGGGATGAAGCTATTATTTTATTATGTTTTGAAAAATGAAACAATAGTTCGGTTTCATTCGGATTATAGGTGCTCAATTCGGATATCGGGTTTCGGTTCGGCTCAATTTTTTGTCCGATTTTTTGGTATTTCGATCATTAAAATATAACTACTATTCTAAATCTATATGTACTACAGTTTGATTTGGTTTATCTACCATCGGTTTTCAGTTTATTCAATTTTATACCAAAAAACATAATTATTTAGTTTGAGATCATATTATATATTATAGAAATATATAATATGATCATATTTAGAGTCATATTGCCACAGGGTCATTTATTAAAAAAATATTATATATTTAAATAAAAGAAAAAAACAAAAAGGCTTCTATCATCTAATAAAATGATCAAATCTAGAATTAATATCAAAACACTAAATTTTGAAAAAAAAAACAGAAGCATGAAAGAAAAGTTTTTATATTCTTTCATATTTAGTGTTCATCAAACCAATATGTCTTTGATTGAACACAACTCTGTTTGTTTAAGGATAAAAAAAATTGTAAAGAATTTCAACTAATTGTTGTCCATCAAATTTATAATCTTTACTTCAATTTAGTTACTGTTAAAAAAGCAAAAGATCAAAATAAGAAGTCTCAGTTTTAATAAATTGTTAGCTATTTACAAAATATAATTATAATTCAACTCATGTAACAAATAGATATTCATGTGTCGTTATAAATATATACATATTTACATGTTTTAGTTTAATCGGTTATAAATCAACCATATCCAAATCCTATGGTTTTTATAAAATCACATCCATTCGGTTTGTAAGGTATATACCAAAACTAACCATATTATCGATTGTTAATATCTTTTAAAAATATAAAATTAAAAAAGAACTAAGATATTTAAATCATTGATAACAAAAATTTTCAATGTGAAAAATTTAATAAGTTTNTTTAACATAAATTCCCAAGTTAACATATTAAGTTTTACATTTTACATATACACTTGCCTTTACCATTAAGTATGTACTTGGTCACAAAGTAATTTCCATTTTACATATACACTTCCATAAATTAAAAGGAATGAAGTTATTATAGTTAATATATGCAAATCGTTATCAAATCGTATATTTTCCTTTTCTTCCATTACATACGTGCGATATATATAAATATAAATATATAAACTATGTTACATGCGTTATATGCGTCTCTAATTATTTTTTCCTAGCAAATTTCAATTGAACCTAAAGCTGACACGTCAGTTTAATTGGTATGCTAATTGATTGACAACTAAGAAAGGTTACTTTTTAATTAATACAAACTTGAGGTTACATCTTTTCAAATGTTTCTCAATTAATATATAGGGGATTTGTCTAAAAATGAAATTCTAATCTAACAAACAATAAAATATAGAAGAAAAAACAAACACATGTTTGAAAAATATGTATAATATAGAAAATTTGAAACAATATATTTGATTAAAACATGAATTATATAATATTATTATGTTTGAAAAACATTTACTATACATATCGTAAATATGTGATTACTAAAATATATACCAATTTACAAGTGAAAACAAAATGTTTATATAAGTAACTATAAACGAAAACAAACATCCGCGCGGTTGCGCGGGTCAAAATCTAGTATATAACTTCAGAGAAGGGAAAAAACCATACTTCTCATTTTTGTGTGTTTATGTACTTTCATGAGATGATGTTTTTATGTTACACGCTGCTTTTACTGTTCTCATTGGATATATAATTTTTCTTGTTGGTAGATATAGATGCTAATGAATTATTAGATGTAAAGCTTAAGAAGCATAGATTGCAAATAAGAATAAGGAAAAATATTAAAAGAACAAGATATAAAAAGTAAACATGAAAGCTTTTATGTCTATGCATCTCCTTCTGTTAAATTAAACTTAACTATACATGTTATGTTTAGTTGGTACAAAACTGAAATTTGTTTTCTTTGCAAATAAAAAAAAAATGTTCCCATGCCCATAGCATGGGACCAATACTAGCAGATACATAAAACGTTCTAGTTTGAGCAAAATCTTTTTTACCAAAAAAATACAAAATCAACTTCCCTGCCCACGTTCTTGCTAAATACGCAACTTCCAAATCCAATTAGAACGAGTCCTCTTGTTAACAGTTTTTATACGTTACCGAAAACTACTCCAAGAGTCCTATAAAATCAAAAGACTCAGATTTTTGGGATTAGTTATCAAGTTCACGGAAGAGAGAGGTTTGTAGTTCCAATCAAGATGGGAAGAGTTTTTATCGTTGATCTGGAAGGGAGAGTCTATAGTTGCATACACTGTAAAACCCATCTTACTAAAGATCAAGACATCATGTCCAAGGTTTGATCTTTTCAGTCTCCATGATGTTTTCTTTTTCTTAGATACTCTAATAATTTTATTTAATAAAAAAGATCTTCTTTTTTCTTTTGGTTCCTGATTATATTTATGAATTTATAGTGATTCCTCTTAACATTCTCAATTTACCAGAGTAATTAACCTTTCTAACTACTAAGGTATTTGACCCAAAAAAAAAACTACTAAAAGGTGTTGATGTCAATCATCAATAACATATAATAGATGGACTACACTATATATAGTACTGATCAACTTTATGTTTTGTGCAGTCTTTTAAAAGCAGGCATGGACAAGCTTATCTCTTCAATGAAGTGTAAGTTTTCTGATTTCTTATAATCCACTTTGGGCTATAAGTTTGTTCTCTACACTCATAATTACTTTTTGTTGTTGTTAATCTTTTAGTGTAAACGTTTCAACTGGAAATAAAGAGGACAGAATGATGATAACAGGACTTCATACTGTAACTGACATCTTCTGTGTTGGTTGTGGATTAAACGTTGGCTGGAAATACGTAAGACAAAACTTTTTTTAGTTTAATTGCAGACATATTTAGTCCATATTCGATTATGGAGTGGTTAAAACTTGGTTTTGTGGATTATGCTTCCAGGTGACTGCCCATGATATGAGACAGAAGTACAAGGAAGGCAAATCTGTTCTTGAACTGTGAGAACCCTTTCTTTAATATTGTTCTTTATCAAGCACTGGTTGCATGTCGCCAAGTACTCCAATATAATCACAAAATTTACAACTTTTGACTGGAGAATGTATTTGAGGTATGATCACAAATGCTGATTTTATTTTGTTGTTTGTTTGCAACAGGTATAAGATTGTGGGTCCTCATGATAGCACTGACTTGGTTTGTCAACAAGTTTCTCAGCTTATGATTCAATAATCATCACAGGGTTCAGATGATGCTTAATCAATTTCCTCTTGTTTCTTAGGTTTATTTTAAAATGTACATTCTTTGATCTTCTTTTTTCTTTTGGTTCTGTATCAAATAAGTATATTTGGTACCGTGGTATTGCCTGGTTTAATAAGTTTTAGTCTTATATTTATTCTTGAATGAATTATGCTTGAATTCCTGGGAATAATGATAAGCTACTCCAAATTGGCTTAGCACTGCTGATACGGCTTCCTCAGGCTGTGTAACGAGAATATAGTAATTTTCTGATTACATATCTTGAAAACAACCAAGAACTCCATTTCTTGTGAGATATTTTTTACTAAGATTACCATCCTTAATTTGGTTCATTGGGTAGCCCACGACTCCTATTAAATAAATTGAAATTGGTTCATTTGGTACACTGTTTTTGCTTCGGTCTGAACCATAATTCGCTAGCCTTTATCCAAACAGAACCAGCCCAAAAGGAAAAAAAAAATGCATTTTTTATATCAATCAATATTACACACAGAACTAGAGAATTACATGAAAGCAAGAATGTGTAACAGATTTTTATCTTTTAAAGGGAATCTCTACCATAGAATATAAACATTACGAATGGTAATTTCTGTGCCTTCCTCCTCAAATTTTTCACTGATGAAACTACTGTACCAACCCAGTCCTTTGCCTTTTTGTGTAGGCCAAAGATTTCTGATATATTTCCACTAGTTTCTAAGGTCTCCAGCACGAAGGTGGTATGCCTTGCTTCTCAAACCATTCAGGCATGTGGAAACGATCATAAAGTGTCGGTCTCACATCTTCTTCCTCAGAGAGTTGTTTCAGAAGTGGAAGTATAACATCCAAAAGCTTCATGTGTTGAGAGTTTTCGATTAGTCTCGAGAGTGATAACAATAATCTAAAGGGTTAAAGATGCATGAGAGTAATAAACTAGTAGAGACCTGAGTGTCATTTGGCTGCCCTGCGGAAAACGCAACACATGGAATCCCATTTGATGGTTGCAATAAGAAGCTGAAAGGATTGTTGTCAACAATCACTGTCCTAGACATGTTGTTTGATGTGCTTAACAGATCCTTCACGTGATCTCTGTATTGCCTGATTAGAAATCAAACAACAATGTACAAAGATCTCAATAACCTACCACAGACCAGTTCTGGAAAGTAAAAAACAGAGCAAGTATAACTTACGTGCTGACTGTTGAAGGTCGATAAAGTCGGTTGCTGAGTACTTTCCTGGTATCTATCTTGTCCACAAGTGGTCTCGCGTACCCTGCAAGCAAGAAATATGAAGGTTGCTAACTGGCTAAGGAATAGAGTACGCATTTGAAGGACCCATACCTTCAAGACCAGCGGTAAAGAGAACAAGATCAGCAAAGTGGCTAAGTTGCTCTAAGAAGTGGTGCAATCCTGGACGTTCAAACACCGTGACGTAATTGATCTTAGGTTTCCCATTAACTTCCTTCAAGACAACAAGAAAGTCATAAAGAGGTAACTCAACTAAAAAGAACACAAGTTGTGGAAGCAAGCAAGTAAACCTTGTCAGATGACAAACACTCCAGCTCGAACCAGTTCAATCCAGCGTCAATGGCTTGATTACGCAAAGCAGCAGGTAGACTAGACGTCTCGTACGCACATACTAACGTCTCATCCAAGTCAAGAACTACCTACAAACACGCATATTCAGTTCTCAGACTTTTACTCCTTTACTTTAATGACTATGAGGTTTTAGCCCAAAGACTCAGACAAGGCATGGGCAAAATATCTGAAAAATTGAGATCCCAACCAAACCCAAACCGAAAATATTCAACAAAAGACTGAAACAAATTCACTAATCTATTTTACGTTGTGGAGTAACTCCGGATATAGCAGTAAAAGCAACACTGAATCCTTTATCTGATCCGAGCTGTACAAAAATATTCAAATGGAGCCTCTAGGGTTGGAATACGATGTAACAATTTTGAATGGTTAACCTCAGAGGCCGTAGATACTATTCTACTCGTAGGATATAAGACTCAGTGATCCAAGAGTTTTAGCCGCAATGCAACTATTCATTGGTTAACAATAACCAAATAGCTACTAAAAAGAGCAAATCACTTCAAGCCTAAAATTGTCAAAATCAAAACTAACTGTAGATCCAATTGGTACGAAGAAGAAGAATTCAAAGCACACCTTGAGTCTCTGAAAGTGGCTGCGTTCGCCATCGCTAGAGTAGTCAATTTCCACGGAGGTGGGAGAATCCGCCGCCGTTTCGAGCAATTCGATGTTTGGTAAGGGTTTAAAACCATCGGCGGCGGATTTAGCGGAGGAAGAGAGGAGTGGATGGTAGCCTACGGCGCGGAGGATCTGGAGGAAGATCTGGTAGAAGAACGCGAGGCAGTTCACGAGAGTCTTCCACAGTTGAAGCGACCGAGGCGAGTAAACGACCTCCGACTGAGTCAACTCGGCCATGAATCAGTGGAGGCGATTGACGCGGAAGAAAGGAAGGAAGGAAGGAAGCAATCCAAGTTTTTGGGTTTCTTCTTCCTTTGATTTTGTTCTCTTTCCCTTTCTCTCCAATGTTTGTTTTAATTTAATTTTTAATTCTTAATTTTAATTAGAGAGAGAAGTGTTCTATGGCGATGGTTCGATGAATGAGAAGAAGTTTGAAAAAAATGACATTTAATGATACAAAGCACGCGCCCACTTGGGCATTTTGGAACACTTTATCAGGTTTGCTCCATAACATTCATGTTATACGAATATTATTAATTGACTTAAAAATTAATGAGGATTAAGCAAATAAAAGTAAAGTTTTGGAATTTTAATATGAATTTTAGTTAGTATCTATTCATTCATACATATACGTATATATAATTTAAAAATGAATTTTAGTTAGTATCTATTTATTCATATATATATATATATATATATATTAGAATTATGAATACATATCTATCTATCTATCTATTTATTATTATAAAGAAGAGTTTTCTCTTATACTGCCACATTGTTAATTAGTGCGTTCTACGAGTGACTCGTGTTCCTTTCACCAAAACTTTGTGTTTTATTGATTCAAATTTAAATTTCGTTTGGGTTTTTGATAAAACTTATTTGTTTATTTTCGTTTTCAATTTGGTTTGTTTTTATATGGGCTGACTTTTTTTAAATGACATGAGTATTCAGTCCAATAAACTTTCACGAGTGACGATATTGTCAATTAGGGTTTCAGTTCTTTCTTGATTTCTCATTAGTTCAAACAACAATGGAGATGCTGCAAATTTAAAGAGACAAATCGTTGTCTATAGGTTCTGATTTATGCTTAGTCACAGTCATTCTGTTTTTTTTTATTTCTACCCTCTAGACGTTTTAAAGCCACACTAGATTTTTGATCCGCGCTTAAAAACCGCGAATACTGTTTTTGTTATTTTATCTACAAATGGATAAAAAACGTTTTTGTTTTAATGATATAAATTATAAAATGTGACATGATCAAAATCAAGTTTCAATTATGTGGATATGAAAAAAAGTTTTAAAACTCACCGATACTTTTTGTTGACCGTAAAGCCTAATATTAAATGAATTTATAACTATTATTATATATCTATAATATTTAAGAGCTGTTCTATTATTATTATTTCAGTTTGGTACAATGTTTTCATTGAATTTCCATATCCGAGTGAGATTTATTGATCTATTTTTAATATATTAATAAATATTTGACTTTGATAAGAATAAATATTTTTGTTCATAATATTTGATTACGAATTTGTGTTATTTGTAAGTTGTCGAAATCTATTCGAAGATTAAGATCATGTACCTATACTATTAAAAATGTTATTAAATTTATTTGTAAGTATATTAATTATCAAACTACATTAATATAGAAAAAAATATTGCTCATTTATTTTTCTATTTTTATGAATAGTATCTATTCTAATTTTTTTTATAAGAAAAACAGTTTGAGACAAATGTTTTATTATTAGAACTCTACATTATTTTCAGTCTGGAAAGACAAATATGTAAGAACAATAGCATGTTCTTAATAATGATTTCTTGCCTTTTATTATTATAACTTAGGATAATAAATTTATTGGCATAATTCAAAATTTAATAGTATAGTTTAAAATGTTTTATGCATACATTTGAAATCATTAATTATTTATATGGTCATATTTATTTCCATTCCAGTATTTATTAATCAATGTTTACTTTATTATTATTTTCAGATTTTTATCACGAAAATACTTTTATCATTGATTTTGATTGATCTGAATAAAAAATGGTTTTATTTTTAATTGATAAAAATATAAATAAATAAATTGACCCATTAATCAAACCCATTAATATATATTGAATGTAGTTAATTATATAGTTTTTAGGCCCAAAAAATAAAAACCAATAATGCTAGTAATGAAAATTTTAATTTATTCATAACATTAAGAGTAATTTTGGAAAGAAACAATTACATCATAGGGCAATTTTAAGTTTTTTATTACACAAAAGAGCAGTTTATGCTACTAAAACAGTTTATTCTAACTAGTTCTCTTTTCTTCCTCTTTTTTTAAAACAAGATAGTCACTTTCTAATTAACCTTTAACTAACTGAAATAAAACGGACCCCATATAATTTTCTTCTTCGTATTTTCCCCTTGTTCACTATTTCAAGGTTCAACCATGGTGTCTCTGTTTTCTTATGTTGTTATGCTCTATTCTTGCTCCGAACTCGCCAGTGAGCCTCAGGCAAACTCGATCTCTATACCGCCATGTTCATCTTTTTCGTGACATTACACGGCAAATCCGGTCCGTCGTGTTTTCACTTGACTCAATCTTTCGTGCCGTTTTCCAATTCCTTCTTCTTTGTCGTGATTCATCATTGCTGTGACTTCTGTTCCTCTCTGCCGAACCCTTCAACCATCATAAAAGCTCAAAAGAAACAATGGCTAAGATTAACATCTTTGCATGTTTGGTCCCTTAGCTTTTATATCATTTAATTTTAACCCCAATACTCTTCAGAGGTGAAGATGTGTCCTAACACAAGATATTCAAAATCATTAAATTAAATATACAAATGCAATATATACATTTAAAATGTTACTTAAAATGATTAAAATAAACTAGCGCAAGACATTCAAAATCATAAAATATCATATTTTTGGCTAAAACAAAGAAACATAATAGTTTTTGGCTAAATTAAAGAGAGTATTGAACGCAAATACTAACAAAAGATCAAGTATCATTCGTGCAATTATGAAGATGTACTTGAATGAACAATCAAGAAGTTTGTGAGTTATTTTTGTGTACATTTGGTGACGTGTACACATGTACATCCAAAATTGGTGTACATATTTATTTGTAAACTGCTCTAAGTTGAAAGATGTACATGTTTAATGTTTATATATATGAGGATAGTGAAAATCTTTCTTCTGAAACATAGAGTATTTTTCAGTTTTAGCTAAACTAAATATTATGTACAATGTGTACATATCAATCGTTGCACAAGTTGCATGGTGTACATGAGAACAATGAACATGTGGATAGTGAAATTTTGTGTACATAATGTCATATACATATGATTACATACATGTATTGTTTCAACAATATACATAATAAATGAATCATACCCCAAGGAAAAATATGGATGTGCTTATTTGCATATAAACAAGGTTGAAATGCACATTAATAAGTTTATGGCAAAATTAAAGGTCATTTTTGCAACAACTAAATTAACAATATGAACGCATTCTTACCATGACATAACATTATTCATCTGGATCTACAAGTTTTAAGACGTGTACTTAGACTTAGAAGTGATATAACTGAAATATGTGTACACACTACCATAATATCACACTATCTAATTGGATAATTTTGCAAGTTTCACAATGTATACAACCATATAATGTATATGTGTACACATAATTTTTACTATCATGTACAATGATTCATTTGTATAATATTGTCCACGTGTATACCAATGCATAGATACCCATATGTAAGTTCAATTTTTGTACATATAATTTCATGTACACTTTATAAGAGCAATTTTAACAAACAACATGTGTGTACACGTGTAGAAAATTAAGAAAAAAAATTGGAAGTTAAAGACAAATGGACAGGTTATTTCATGTATATTTTGAAACGTGTGCACGTGTACATCGAAAATGAACCAATATATGTAAAGAAGTTGTACACATATAGGTAGATTGTTTTTTAAATGCTACATAAATAATCTCAAAATTAACTAATTAAGATGCAATAGTAACATTTAAATGCTCATGTCGTACATGTACGTCTATTTAATAATGGACATATGTACATCAACTTCAAAATATACTTGTGAACACTACATGTGTACACTACATTTAAGTGCTCATATTGTACACTCAGAATTATTTTTTCTATTAAATATGGGAGTATGCTTCCATCACTACTAGTTGTACATTACCATATATGATAGTGTACATACACGTTATTATCCATGTGTACGCCTATTAACTTGTATATGTCTTGTTCGGAAGCTTGGTACGCATTTTTTTAAACAACGTGTACACGTTATTACACATGTATACACATTAGTTTCAACTTTTTAGTGAGTGGCATTTTAGTAATTATATCTTCGTCTTTCCCAGAATTTTAGGGTTTTCTGCAACACTTTTTTGCGGCTGCCATTGATTTTTTTTTCTCATAATCTTCCATTATTTTACATTTTAATTGTAGGTTACACTTCAAAATCATAACTTTATCATTTATAAATAGATTTTTAACTTTAGATTTTTAAAAAAAAAAATAGTGACTTTCTGTGAGATTTGGCCATTGTTGTTTCAGATTCACTGTGCAACTGAAAAAGGGCCACCATGGTGGGATTTTGAGCATCATATCACCATGAGCTACTGTTACAGCACAAGGGAAATGAATTGAAGAGAACGATGTGTTGATTTACGGTGAAGAAGAAAACGAACTGTAACAATTTATGTGATCGAGCTAGACGGAGATTCACCGGCGGTCATATAAGAGGATCCAGAAACACGCCGAAGAGGAGACTTGAATCGAGAGGTTGAAAAGTGAGATGTGAAGAAGAAGTTTTTAAAGATTTTTGATTTCTAAATTTTGTTTGTTTACTCTCGGGAAAAGAAACAAAAAGTTGTAAATCTGAGAAAATTGTAGGACCACTTTAGTTAGATAAAGAGACTCTAGTTGACAATAATTGATTTCTAAATACAAAAAAACTACCCCAAAATCATAAACTGCCCTATATTGTTATTAAAAACTCAAAATTGTCCTACAATGAAAAAAAATCTTTGGAAAACGTAAATATTTCATTAAAGGAAATGATGATCACCTTTTAATAGTATTGATTCATTGATTTTAAAATACATCTTAACTCCATCAAGCCTCATTAAAGACGGTGCCAGATTCAATATATAATCATTATTTTACCTCTAGAACATCACCGTCACAATTTCAGATACTACAAAAAAAAAACTCAATCCCAGTAGAATGGTAATCTCATATGTTCTTCTTCGTTATTAAGGCTGCCGGTATTTTTTTATGGTGAAGTTCTGATGTCTGAGGTTCTTGGAGGTTCATATGTTCTTCATCGTGATGTCTTCTTTGATGCTCAGGTTTGTCAATTTATTGTCCAGCCCGTAGGACGGATTTATCCTAGTTATATATAAATAGTTAAAACTCTTAAAATTAAATGTGAAATCAAATAATAATAAATTTGTATGATTAAATAATAATGAGTTTTTATTTATGTTTCGAAATTAATTATATATCTCTAGTTTTATTAGCTGCGCAAGTTTTCAAAGTCACTCAAATTCAAATCCACACATTTCTTATTGAGAGTTGGAGTCGATAGACAAATATAAGCCAATAGAAAAAAAATACAGATTTCAAAACTGCACGAAGACGCTTCTTCGATCATTCATTATGATTTTCTCTTCGTCCTTTTTTCCATATACACACATACTCCTTGACCTGACTTTTCCGGTTTTGTTTTGTGTGATTTAGACTCGGCTTAACTCCATTTTGCTTACCAACCATTTCAAAATTGGACCAACCTGAGATGTTTGATTTATTAACAAAACAATTGGGGACATTAGTCCAATCTGTCAAATTTGACCAACTAAAACCATCCATCCACAAGAAAAAATAATCTTATATCGTATTTGCACATCTGACATGAAAAAACTCACCTCCACACAAAAAATCAGTCCTCAAAAGCAGCTGAGATTTCACAATATCTTGCATCGAATCATTACTTGTAGCATTGTCTAATGTGAGAGAGAATTTTTTTTTTCTAGACTCCACTCTTCCACTGATTCAAGAAGCTTCATTGCAACCTTCATACCTGTATGAGGCGGTGGGAGAGCACAAAATGTCAATATTTTACAGTTTAGCTTCCAGTTCCGATCAATGTAGTGTGTTGTGATACACATATAACCCTCACGTTTCAATGATGACCACAAATCAGAAGTGAAGCTTACTCTTCCAGGAAGATTAGCCAATTCTCGCTTCAATGTCTCTCTCTCATTTTCATAAAAACGATAGACATCTGCTTTAGCTGTGTTCCGGAAAATGAATTGAACATTAGCATTCAAGTACTTCCAAGTCTCTCTGAATTTCTCATACTCAACGTAAGAGTAAGGTAGGTCATGCTGAATTATAGTCTTGGTTACCAGCTGCCTGAACACAACATCATCATACTTGCCACTTACTAATTTGGCTTCAGCATCGAGTTTTTTGGTTTGGAGATTCCTTGGATAAAGTTTGCATCTATCATGATGCCTTCTCAACCCGGTTGTTCCATGCGAGTGGGAACTCCATGCATACTCATTCTTACAATGATTGCATTCAGATTTCTCCTCGCCATTGGGTTTTCGAATCTTAGTAAAATCAGGCCATACATCAGACCACTGCCTACCCTCCTTCTGATTCTCCACTTCGTCCTCTTCATATTCACCTTCTGAATCAATCTGATCCTCCTGAATCTGCTTCCTCTTTTGTGGCTGGCTTGGCTCGGCATGGATCACTTTCTTACCATTGCCTTTTATCGGCTTGGAACTCTTTCTCCCACCACGAATGGTAAACATAACAGGTTTTTTTTTTGGTTTACTCCCCTGTGAAGACGACCCGATTCCACCGTCTATAGTAGACTGGAACATTGGTTTCTTTGAGTTCAAGGCTCTCCCGGTTCCAAAGGTGGACGACTGTTTACAAAGCTTAGAGGTTTGGGGTGGACGAGGCGTGATTTCAAAATCACTATCATCTTCAGTATCATCAACTTCAATCATCCTTCTCTTACTTGCTTGCTTCGTTGTTGTTCCATCAGATGAACCATTCTCAGCCTCACCAGCCATTGAAAGAGCTGCAAGGGTTTGTTGAGTCTCAAAGTCTACTGTATTCAAGGGTGTGAAATTTGGATCTAAGTCTTGATCCATATCTTCAATCATCTCTTTCTCTCTTGCGTGTAGGTTTAAGGTTTCTGTGATTTTTTTTTTTTTTGGTTTCAAGTCACAGCGTAGTCACATAAAACGTGAAAGAGAGGTCTCTTTAGGGTTTAGTTTCGTAATTTTATGTAATTTTTAAATTATACCAATTATTTACTTATTCCCTATTGGTCAGGGACTCAAGCATTATAAGAAAAATTTACTATCATTCTAATTTCTAAACGATCAACTTGATCGGATCAAACAATATCATTCACAAATTCAACTTAAAGTTTAACAAATGCCTTGTAGTGGTAAGCTGTTTTTAAGAGACAAATGAGACAGAACAACTTATATGACTACACCATATATTTTTTATGATAGCTGTTTTTTAAGAGACAAATGAGACAGAAGAACTTACATGATTTCCTGCAATATGTTCCTGGTGCGTATGATGGTGAATAAAGCCACTGAAACGCTTTATGAACTTAGCTTTGTGCACGCAACCCTCCATCTCATTAACCGCTTCAGGCCTTATCTTCTGGAGCTTCACAGCCTCAAATTTGTCTTGACACACCACCAATGATCTGTTCAATCTTTCCTATACACAATAAAAATGCAAAAAGCATTAGTTCACCTATCATCTTCTATGCATCTCCTTTATAGAGTGGATATACTTACTACCTGAAAGTGAGCCATTTCATTCTCAAAATGCTGCTGAGATTTAACAACTGGGACGCTGCAGTGCTCGACGCAGTTACTTATCTCCTCTTGATTTCTTCTTCTGTCAAAGCACTCATACGCACACTTGAAATAAGCTTGCTGCACAACAACGAAACATGTTTTTTGAATTTCATAATGAAATAAATAATTCATGTAAACTCAATTTTCAGATATATTGTCATTTAAATTTTGATCTATATTCTCTAATCAAATTGTTATTTAACTAAATTCATCAAAAGTTACTTATTTTCCACAAAAACTAACAACTGAGAGATTACATCTAACATTGAAAAAAGTTAAAGGTGGTAGCTTTCTGGAGAATTGAGTTTAAAGTAGAGAGATTGAATCAAACCCAGTAAAGAGTTTAAAGTTGTGAATGAAAGATACCTGGAGGGTGAAATTGATGTGATCTTGGATAGGAGAAAGCTGAGACTGAGCTGCTACATTTAGTTCTTCAAGCTTTCTTCTTAGTCTCTCCCACTCTCCGATAAGATTGCTTTGATGTTCATCAGCAATTAAAAGGACCATCGTTCTTGAATCTTGGCTCAAAAAGTCAAAAGGAAAGAAAATGATGAAACTGAGAAGAGACTCTTCCTTGATTAAATGAGGAGATGAAGAACATGCATGAAGAAGTTATGACGAATCGAAGTTGACGGATTGAAGAAGAAAAGAAGCCGGAAGATATCGCCTTTGTAATCGCCATCTCTCTCTGTTTCTCTGTCGGTGAGAGCTCGAAGAGTGAAAGTGACGACATCTGTGCGGATCACACACGTCCCGTGGGATACACCAAGCCCATCCCGCTTCTGTCCCAATTCCGCACAAGCTCATCCCGCGAGGCCTGCTAAATAATCGGGCCTGAATCTTAGTGTCCAATCCCGCCCCGAAGCAAGACCTAATGGGCCGGCAAGTTCATATGTTGCCATCTCTATTCATTTCTAGTCTGAAGTTAAAGTGATACACGAGCACGCACAGACAAACACGAGCACATGCTCTCAACTTATAATGTGCACTTTCAATATCTCTCTAATTCCAAAATCGTTGTCTTATCTTGGAACCGAGTTTTTAAAAATCTATTTCAAATTTTTGTTTCAAAATGAACATTATTGTATGGCTGATGATGAGTAGTGAAGTATTAGCTTTAGTTATGATCCTAAGGAGTCTTCTGGTTGATGCATATAGAAAATTCGCAGTCAGGCCACATGTATGAAGAAACCAACATAAACGAAGGTGTGTACGGAGATAATGATAGTTTAGAATTTAAGGCTTATTCACCCTGGAGTAAACGCGAGGAGGAGAGATCCGGGGAAGTATTCTTACACTTGTGTTCCTTGTTCTGAGTTTCGTAAAGGGTCATGTCGTAAAGGAGACTCTTACCTCACCCAGCACAGTATAAAACACGGCTTTGTAAAGATGAGACGTGTTGTGCAAGGAAAGTATGTTTCTTTGCTCATAAACGTGAAGAGATGAGACCAGTTACGGCTTCAACTGACTCTTCTATGTCTCAATCTCAGTTTAACAGCTTTGAGATGATGCATGGTTTGTCTCCTCCTGTATCACCTATGGCTAATAGTGTTGCTTCTTCTCCAAAAAACGGTGGGTCATGGTAGAACAAAGTTAATACTCTTACTCCACCTGCTCTGCAGCTCAATGGTGGAAGCAGATTGAAGTCTACGTTTAGTGCTAGATAATATGGAGATGGAACTAATACTCCGAGGTATAACAATTTTGAAGAGACTTTCGGGTCAAATGTTTCCTCTCCAAGTAGAAACTCTCAGATGGGTCAGAACATGAACTAACATAGGCAACAGACTCCTCACCACGGGTTCTACTCGTCAGCAGCTGCAGTGATGAACTTGAGATAATCTTTTTTTTTGTGAAACGTAGCTTGAGTTTCAAACCGTTCCTCATGAAGCATCTCCATCGAATCTCTCAGATTGGGGATAACCGAGCAAGGAGCTGGAATGGGGAGTGGAAGGAGATGAGCTGAATAAGATGAGAAGAAGCGTTTCCTTTGGAATCCATAACAATAATAATAATGTAGTGAGAGAGTACAGGAATGAGCCATATGTTTTGTCGGTTAACTCTTTGGTAAAAGACAGTGTGGACTGAGGTGTCGGAGAGACGAATGAGTGAGAGGGTTTGGATCATGTCATGGGCTAGTATATGATATGTAGTCACTATGAGAAGTAATTAATCTTCTATAAATAAAAGGGGAATATGAGAGTCACTTTAAATCAGCCAATAGAGATGTTTCATGCTGCCAAGTCATTGACACCTGGGTAAATGAATTGCCTTTCAGTTGGGCTTGATTTTTTTGTGGGCCTGAACCGTGTTTTTCTGCGAGGTCCACTATCGATCAGACCATATTAGGTCAAGCTGCTCCTCTTTTCTCCTCTCCTCTCCTTTCCTCTCATCCTCTCCCGATTCGTCTTCTTCCTATCTCTTTGCCTATTCTCTTTGCAAATCGGTTTCAAAATCGAAACTCCTCCACAATTCTCTTCCATCAATTCTTCATTTATCACATTCAATGGCTTCTTTCCATCTGCCTTTGCATATATTTCACTATAAATTTCATTTCGTATTTTCTCTATCCATTTTACTTCGTAAACTTTTCTCAAGAGATCAAACCGTGGAATCCAAAGGACAATCTGCAAACTCCGGCGATTGCATGTTTATGAAAAGGAATGACAGCTCCTCCGCGGTCGATCGGAAGAAGGTGTCGAAGACCGATGGCTCATCCACTCAGATGGTATCCAAACGTCACTGTCTAGATTCCAGAGACCACAAGTCAGTCATCGACACTGACGGCTCTTCCGCGATGGGTCGCCGGTAAGATCCCGAGAATGATGGCTCTTATAAACTGATGGTAGCCGACGGCTTCTCCCGGAATGTTGTGAAAACGACTAGTCAAGGCTCTGTGTCCTCTGTGCTTTCAATCAAACGTCACGGCAAGGGTGTTGTCTCCAATGAGAGATGTACCAACATTATGTTCTTTGCCGACATCACACAAGGTCCACATGAAGCTGCGTTGCGGTTTCGTCTCATCCATTTTTGGGAGGCTCAAAACCCGCATTCGAAAATTTCGATTGGAGAGAAGATGCTTCTCATCGATGAGAAGGTCGATCTTTACCTTTTTCTCAATGTTGTTAATTTTTAAATGATTGATAATTTTTTGGTTTGATTTTCCTTGGCGTATTGTTCAATAGTTTTTATTATTGAAAAGCTTTTGGTGTTGTTGTCATTGGCATATTGATTGTTTGTTTTAATTGTTGTTATGAATTGTGATTGCTTGCGTTAGCATGTTTTGATCATGCATTTTTCGTAGTTGATGTTCTTAAAACAGTTTGTTTTGTCCACTGCTTGAATAACGTGTTTTGATCATCACTCGGTATTGAATTTGAATAGAAAGGGCCTAATTTTGAATTAAAAAATGTTATAATTTTGTTTTCATTTATTCCAATATTCCTTCTAGAATTTTATTTTATTTACAATCATAATAGGTTATCAGCAATTTGTTTAGAAAGCGATACCATTTTGTTGTTTATATTTACTATTTCACATGGTTTGTAATTAGTTTAGAAATGGTTTAGATTGGTATGATAACTATTCTTCTTAAATCATTCGTAAGTAAACCATACTCTTAATTGCCTTTTATTATGTAATTGAGTGTACATTAGATAACCAAATTTATCTAATTCTCGGTTTTTATAAATCAAATAAGAAGTTGGTTTATACTGAAAATTTAATAACGTTTTGGGTTGTTTTCTTTGCTGATTCCTCACATAGTGTCATCTTTAATATTGTTGTGGTATTTATGAATTTGATAGCTTTGATACTCACCTTTATATTCTTAACAGGGAACTGCGATTCAAGGATTTATTCAATCAGGACATGTTGATGCTCATCTGCCTCACTTGAAAGTCGGTTGTGTCTAAAAGCTGATGAACTTTTTTCGGATCCTGTAGCAAATAGAACTTTTGTGTTGCTGATCATAACGTTACTGTGACGTTCCCATGGAATTCGGTGCTAACACTTCTTAAGGACGATCCGGTTCCATTCCCCGAAGATAGGTTATGGTTCCATAGCCATGATGAGTTCTAAGCTAACTGTGGCCTCAAAGGAGACCTTTATGGTAAGCTTGATAAACTATTGATTTTAGTCTTAGATGTTTATTATAGAATTTTGGTCTGTATTAGAAGTATTTTCAATATGTGATCAACCGATAAACAACTTAGTAGCATTTTATTGTCTTTTTATTATGGTTTGGCATTTGACAATTGTTATTGTTTCAGATTATATTGGCCACATGAAGTTGGTGGAAGGGCAGTCTATAACCGACTGTCCCAAACTTGATGAAGTCGACATTGCAGCAAAGCGGCATGTCTTGGTTCATGTTCAGACACATGAGTAAGTCTATGTAATGCTTAAGACGTATTCCATATTTGTTCTTATTAACATGTGTTTTTGATTTGATACAGCGGCCCAGTGATGAAGATGTATCTATTGGACAAGGCTGCTAACAGGGTCAATGTCGAGGTCGTGACCAAACCTGAGAGTCACCATAAGAGAATTGTTCGCTTACATAAAGCAGGAAACTGCTAAGGTATATGATTTACAATGTTTCAAATTCATTACAGATTACTTTTGTACTTATGGAATTAACTTTTACAATGTTGTAGGTTGCTTGGTTTGAGTGCACAACAACCATTGATGATGTGCTTCGTGGCTCAACGTGGTATTACATCTCTTATGGTGGGTGTCATTCAAAAGCAACGAAAGGGGAAAACTCTCTGATGTGTACTAATAAGAAGTATAAGAAATCTGAAGTCACAGGCGTTCCAGAGTAAGAATTGCTAAGTTATTTCAACCTTTTATTGCCAGCATTAGTTAATAATCTTCCTCCATGATAGGTACATCGCCAAAGTATTTGTCTATGACAAGAGTGAGCAGGTTGCATTTGTTATACTTGGGGATGATGGACGTGAGCTAACTGGCAAACATGCAATAGAGTTGGTTGCAAATTATTTAGAGGTACTCTCTAACTAATTGATCATTCTGCTCAAATTATTTATACTGACACATGATTGCATGTATTTAGAGTAATGAGAGTGTGGGAGCTGATGGTGTTGTGCCGGTGCCACAAACCCTAATGGAAACAATTGGTCAGACCTGCAGGTTTATAGTGAAGGTGTCAGAGCATAATCTAACTGGAAAGAGTCAATCCATCACTGTAACTAAGGTGTTCCACTCAGAACAGCCATAACATCCTATTGAAGATGCTGCAGACGAGAAGATTGAAGAGGTTTCTGGTAGTCATGCATCAGAGAAGGTCACAGTGGCTAATAGAGCTACACTCACTGATGCTTGCTCTAGTTTTTAAGTTTATGTTTAGACTCAGCTTTCTCTACGTTTTGCTTTACAAACATGAACTGGTTTTTTAGTTTATAAATTTAATATTTTGGATGTTTAATATTTTATAAATGAAAATTTGTTGGAAAATAAAAAACAAATTTGTTCAGTTTTGCTAATTTTCCATGGAATAGTTTTTTAGAACGGAGATTTTTGATGTTTAATAGTTTTTAAATTTAAAATTGTTGTAAAATATAATTTATTTCTTATGTTTAAATATCTGATGTTTAACTAATTTCCGCTGAATATTTTTGTATACTTAATAAATTTTAATTTGTTGTGTTCAAATCTGATAACTAAATTGAATGATGAATACAATATGTGTGTTATAATATATTATCATTAAATGTAATTTAAAGAGAATTTCCAATACTTGAGAACCGCAAAGATTGACCTTTGGGTTTCTTTTAAAATTTGTGAGCTTAGCCCAAAAAAGAACTACTTTATACTCATTTATTTTAAAGGATGTAAATAAATTTTATGATTGTGATTTTTCTCATAAATCACAAACCAGTCTCCCGACAAACTGGACAACTTACGTTCCTGCAAACCCATTCATCAATGTATAAAAAATAGAAAGTATTGCCATAAGTGAGAGAGCTTATTTTTTCAATGAGTATTTAGTGTTTGGCTGTTTTGTAATTCTCTTAGTTTTGCTTGTTGACCATGTTTATGTCTTTTACTACATATTATTATAAATATAGACATTTTTAGTACTTTATTTTTTAATATTTTGTTATGATTAAAAATGTAATTTTTATGTGTTTGTTGTCATATTTATGAGTAAACTATTGGTTTAGTCAAATTAATTACATATTGTGTATAAGCTCACATTCCATTCTCGCTTAGTTCACACTTCCTAACATAGAGCGTATTATGAGATTGAAGCTGAGCATATTGCGCTCATAAAAGCATCCAACGTTCTATTTATACAGCATGAAAGCTTTTTTTTAGCAAAAAAAAAAAAAGAAAGCTAAATTGGGAAATATTTGGTGTTTAGTGGTTGATGATGAAAAATGTTTGGCATATAATTTTTTGGTCAGTTTAACTAAATTTTCATGGATCGGTGACAAAAAAAAAAATCCAACTTTCCATAGTAAAATTTTCGTAGCCAATGACTTTATTGTTTAAGTAACATCTTACGTTACTTTCAATGGATATTTACTTTTTTTGAGTAACATCTTACACTTTTTCGTAGTCAAGGACTTTATTGTTTAAGTAACATCTTACATTATTTTGCATATAATACATGACTCATGTTTAGGTTTTTTGTTGACCGTGTATTTTTTATTTATTTAAATGTTGTCATAACTATGGAAAATTTTTAGATTTTTTTTTTGAGGTGGAGTTGCAATATGAAAATGAAATTTCAATATTTTTGTTCTTGTGTTTGAGAATAAACTAATGGTTAAGAAGCATGAGGTTTTGGAAGTTTTAAATAATTCTCTATATTACATTATAATTAATTTTGATTTTTTTATATATAGAAAGTTTTTTATTGATAAGTTATTTATAATTTTATATTTGTATTTTTGGTCTATATAGTTTAAATAGAATTATGTTAATATAATTGTCTTTATTTTTTTATTATTTAAAGTTTCAAATAAGAAGATGCGGTGATAATAATTCTTTTAAACATATTGTAAACAGTCAATGTAGGCAATAACATTAAAAAAGTAAAAATAGTATTCATTTTATTTGACCAATTGAACTTGAATATAATAATATTCTTTTTTATTGGTATATATGTAGATTTCTTTTCTTTTATAGCACATAGTTTATGTTATTGTAGTTTATAATTACGTCAATAGTTATAATTTGATTTTGATACAAATCTTGAAACTGAAACATATTTTATAACTATGATCATTTTATTAAGGTTAAGACCAAGTTATGTTTATTAATTCGTAACTTCTTTACTATTCAATATATATTAATGTTGTAAACCCCTACATTCTGATTCTATTATACAACTCCTCCATACCTCTAAACAACTCCTCTAAAATCTAAACATGAGTCAGTTATTTTGGGTTCTATGCCACAAAACGGAACCATCTTTATCATCTCCAAAAAGAATCATTACCATGAAGACAGAGAGGCCAATAACACAGCAAACAAAAATTGTGATATCCGTTGCCCTGAAGACAGCAAGCAATGGCCACCTAATCCATGATACGGTGGGTGATATGGAGTACATGCTTAAATACCATGAAATTTATTTTGATTCGGTGATGGAGATTATCGAGCAGACTTCTGACTTTGTCGCACCCACCCACTATTCCGACGCTTGATGATCCCACAGGTACATATCTTGATATAATTGTTAAGATATCTGATCACAACCCCTACATTAAGCAAGTTGTGCCCTACAATATGGGCATGTTAAGGTTTTTTTAATCCAGTGCAAAAATGCAGTGATGATGATCAGAATGTTTACAATTTAAAGAGTTTATCTCTCCTTCTGTGCCAAACTCTTCACAGCAAATTGGGCATATATCATTTTTTCGCTAGGGATGGGTTCTTTTCGGTTTTCACAAAGCGTTTAGGTTGTGATTATATATCTTAACATTTATATCAAGATCTGTACCTGTGGAATCATCGAGCGTTGGAATAGTGTGTGCGACAAAGTCAGAAGTCTGCTTGATAATCTCCATCACCAAATCAAAATCAGTTTCATGGTATTCAAGCATGTACTCCATATCGTCGACCGTATCGCGGATTAGGTGGTCATTGCTTGCTGTCTTCAGGACGGAGGATATCACAATTTTTGTTTGTTGTGTCCTTGGCCTCTTTATCTTCATGGTAATGGTTCTTTTTGGAGATGATAAAGATGATTCCGTTTTGTGGCATAGAACCCAAAATACCTGACTCGTTTTTAGATTTTGTAGGAGTTGTTTAGAGGTATGGAGGATTTGTATAATGGAATCAAAATGTATGGGTTTATATAGGTGGCAAATTCTAAAAGTTTTTTTTAATACACCATAAGTTACAACATTAATATATGTTGAATAGTAAAGAAGTTACGAATTAATAAGCATAACTTGGTCTTAACCTTAATAAATTAATCATAGTTATAAAATATGTTTCAGTTTCAAGATTTGTATCAAAATTAATTTAAATATATTAACGTAATCATAAACTACAATAACATAAACTATGTGCTATAAAAAGTTTCATATATACCAATAAGAATGAATAGTAATATATTCAAATTCAATTGGTCAAATAAAATGAATACAAAATTTAAAATAAACCAAGAAATGAAAAAAAATACTAAAGTGTACATGCAAATAGTGATAACCGGTTGCATTCTTCTCATTACTATTTTTACTTTTTAATGTGATTGCCTACATTGGCTGTTTAAAATACGTTTAAAAAATTATTATCACTGCATCCTCTTATTTGAAGCTTTAAATAATAAAAACATAAAGACAATTATATTAACATAATTAAATTTAAACTATATACTACAAATATAAAATTATAAATCACTTATCAATAAAAAACTGCCAATGTATAAAAAAGAAAAACTAATTATAATGTAATATAGAGAATTATTTAAAACTTCCAAAGCCTCACGCTTCTTACTAAACCATTAGTTTATTCTCAAACATAAGAACAAAAATACTGAAATTTCATTTTCATATTGCAACTCCACCTCAAGAAATATATCTAAAAACTGTCCATAGTTATGACAACATTTAAATAAATAAAAAAACAAATACATGGTCAACAAGAAATCTAAACATGAGTCAGGTTTTATATGCCAAATAATGTAAGATGTTACTTAAACAATAAAGTCGTTGACTACGAAAAAATGCAAGATGTTACTCAAAAAAGTAAATATCCATTGAAAATAATGTAAGATGTTACTTAAACAATAAAGTCGTTGACTACAAAAATTTTACCATGGAAAATTGGTTATTTTTTTTTGTCTCCGATCCATGAAAATTTAGTTAAAAAGACCAAAAAAAATTATATGCCAAAAATTTTCCATCATACACCATTAATCATCAAAGATTTCCAAATTTAACTTTCATGCTATATAAATAGAACATTGGGTGCTTTGATGAGCACAATATGCCCAGCTTCAATCTTATAATATGCTCTATGTTAGGAAGTGTGAACTAAGTGAGAATGGAATGTAAGCTTATACACAATATCTAATTTATTTGACTAAACCAATAGCTTATTCATAAATATGACAACAAAAACATAAAAATTACATTTTTAATCATAAAAAAAATATTTTTAAAAAAATACTAAAAATGTCTATATTTATAACAATATTTAGTAAAAAACATAAACATGGTCAACAAGCAAAACTAAGAGAATTAAAAAACAGTCAAACACTAAATACTCATTGAAAAAATAAGCTATCTCACTTATGGCCATACTTTCCATTTTCGATACATTGACAAATGAGTTCGCAGGAACGTAAGTTGCCCGGTTTTTCGGGAGACTGGTTTGTGATTTATAAGAAAAATCACAATCATAAAATTTATTTACATCTTTTAAAATAAATGGTTATAAATTATTTTTTTTTGGGGATAAGCTCGCGCACTTGAGATGAATAAAAATATTATTTCACAACTTTAAAAAGAAAACCCAAAGGTCAAATCTTTGTGGTTCTCAAGTATTGGAAATTTTCTAAAATTATATTTAATTTAATGATGATATATTATAACACATATATTGTATCCATCGTTCAGTTTAGTTATCACATTCGCAAATAAAAAATTAAAATTTATTAAGTATACAAAAAAATATTCAGCGGAAAATTAGCTAAACATCAGATATTTAAACAGAACAAATAAATTATATTTTACAACAATTTTAAATTTAAAAACTATTAAACATCAAAAATATCCATTCTTAAAAACTATTCCATGGAAAATTAGAAAAACTGAAAAAAAAAAATTATTTACTAACAAATTTTCATTTGAAATATTAAACATCCAAACTTTCCGCGCATTGTGCGGACAACGGATCTAGTGTTAATAAGACTATTATAATCAGCTCTATTTTGGGCTTCTTCGGTGTTCATGTTATGCCTTTAATGAGTCGATTATGGATGAGGGACTCAACCCCACAAAGAAACTAGGAGTTTTCCTCCACCATATGCAAAAATAAGAATTTTTAAAATTAATTTATATTTAAAAATAAAATTTCATTTTACATTATTAACTTTACGTTAAATATATGTAAATATTAAGATAAAAGAAATAATTTTTATAAATTTATATTTAATAATGTATATGTATATATTTAAAATTATATTTTTGTAAAGATCTTTTTATCTTTTTCTTTTAATTAGAATATGTTAAATCGTATCCTATTCAACTAAGAGAATAAAAAATTAGATATATAATTATCAAAATATAAAATTGAATCCTATTTCTAAAATTTATAGATGTCATAAATAAACTAACGGTATTGGGATTAGAAAATTACATTTTTTATAAAAAAAAATCACAAAAATTTTAAAAAACATTTCTTAATAAAAATTATATAATTATAAAAATAGATTTCAAAAATTGTAAATATTATTATATTTCTAATTTTACTATTTTATTATTTATTGTTATATTAATGAATAGATTTATGAGTTACTGCAATATTTTAAAAACTGACCAAAAATATAATTAACATTAAATGTAAATATCTATGTTATAATTAACTCTAAATCATAACATCATTATTAGTGAACATGTCATCATGTTTTGTGAAATTGATTGTGGTGATGACACATGTCAAAATCAATTCACAAAGAATATATAAGAGATATCGTAAGACGAGACTAGATATGGCAATTGGGCTCTCATGTCCTGTCCCGTCCCAGGTCGCTGCGGGTTTGTTTTCAAGCGGGATGCGGTCTTGAACTCGTATTGCATTTCTTGTAGGCCTTCGCGGGCCGTCCCGCGGGACAAGTGATAATACGTGCATCATAGCAATTCAGGCCACTCCAAAACGTTTCAGATCATTCTAGGACATAGTTCAAGTCGTCGATTCAATTAGACATAATTCATCAATCATTGCTTTGTTTATTTTTCTTCAAAACAATAATTTTAATTATTTGTATTACACCCAAAACATATTAAAATACAAAGTAAAAATAATTGTAGAAGATATTTTTCATTATCTTATAACTCATAAGTTCATAACCAAAGTTTTAGTTTTTTGAATCCAAAAACTAAATAAAATGAAACACCAAATCAAAAATGTCAATCCAAAATTAAATAAAAAAAAAAGATAAACCAAATCAAAACACTACTAAAGCTCGAATCGTCATCACTGGAGCCGTAGTCGTCATCACCGGAGCCGTAGTCGTCATCACCGAAGCTCGAATCATTATCACCGAAGCTTGAATCATCATCATTGCCCGAGCTCCTTACGTTTTCTTAGAGGAAGTCATGAATCGTCTTCGTCTCACTCATTCTCTCGTTTTTTCAAGGAAAACAAAAAATAAAGAAAAAAATGTGGATCCTTGTAATCCTGCGGGGCCTGTTTCAGTCTATCTCGTGGGGCCTGTTTCAGCCCATCCCGCAAAAGACCCAGTCTCACAAAACCCATCCTGTGAATCCTGCAAATTTGCGAGCCTAGAAAACTTCGTCCTAATACCATCCCGCGACAGTTCTTTACGGGTTAGACCTGCGGTCCAGATCCATGACTACCATCTTTAGACTAGACTTGACACCACTTAACCTGCAGTTTCTGCAAGTAATAGAAAGAATGCTGTTATTGTGTGTGTTAAATGGATTGGATCATATTTAATGGGCTTTGAAAGCAGGCTTTATGTTTTTTTTTTGTCAAGAAAGCAGGCTTTATGTTCTCCATCCGAATTTAGCAAGGAATGGATCCCAATGACAATGATATGTGGTATATCATTCAGATTGGTTAATCACCTTATTTTACAGATTGGTTTAGTCACTTATCCGAATTAAAGAACTATCAAAGCAATATTTTTTTTGTAGGGTGATGTCTTAAAAAGTCTAAATTTAAACTTTTCATCAAAATAGTAGAGTTTTCTTAAATTTAGGGTCTTGAGTGATCAACACTCATAACAACTGCGCTACGGTCCTATGAACACATAGATACATAAATATATTTTTTTTTTGTTATTATTAACTACTGTGCGGTGTAATGCGGTTTGTAAACATTTGAAGCCTTATAAGAAAATACCACAGTTGTTGTAGAATGCACGTGTGACTGAGGCACATCATTACGCACGTGGTGAACTTCTAGCAAAATCATCATAGAAACAAAAGGGCCGAGTACAGCATATGTGTGTCTCACTCACACAAACAAAATTGCAAAGGGTTTGAGTTAGGTTACTTTGGCTTTGGTTCAAAGCAAAAGGATTCACATATTGAAGTAAACTAAAGCCAAATGGAGTCGTAATAGAGTTTACAACATTTGCCAAAAAATATATATATATATATATATATGCTATATATTCATGTACAAGATGATGTAAATAAAATGAATTGGTAAATGGTTGTTGGTACCGTATATACTGTGTGTGTGTTGTGAGGAGATTACTTAGACTTTACTTTTCTCAAAGAGAAAGCTTCATGCATCATTTTGAGTTGCTCATACCTGTCCTTTTATTTTCCTTTACTTTCTCAAGTGGAAAATATATGTTTATGTTTCTCTTAACGAACAAGGATGCTTCACCCTCAACATGCGGTGGACGCATTGATTGTTACAGAAACGAAAGACAAGTCTAGTCATAAAGTTGTGATTAGCCGAATTTACCAAGAAAGTCACGATTTGAATCTCAGTGATACTTTAAACCACA